GTATGTATGCCTTTCATTGTAAACTTGTGAGCCATATTGTATTTGAACATGTCATTTACTAACTTTCTTTCATTATCTTTTAAACAACTTGACACTTCATGGCCATCTAAGTCCTTTGCTAGTATATGATTGTGAAACCCACATCTAACCCTAACCTCCCAACCGCTTCCAATAGGCCTAGATCTCAGCATAAATGGGCATTTCACTTTCATACTATAGATGCCTTTAATCACATTCTTCTTCATGTAATTTATTCGTCTCTCATAACCCATAATCAATTTATATTTCCATCCTCTAATCCCATTTAAGGTCTCAGAACAAATAAAAACAACAACAATACCATGTTATTTACCAACAGACTGTGCACGTGCCAAAACATCAGATTGAGAGGGAAATATCTTTCATCTACAACATATACATATTATCAATGCCAAAGATATCACATGCCTATCATCTTTTGAACAAGTTTAAAATTAAGCATGTGTGTAAAACATATCGCATCAATGGTGAAAAACTGAGTAAAATCTGCAGGGGAGCCATCAGGATCTAAAACCACACAAATGAAGCATACGGAACTACTAGAATTTTTGGTTTATGCTAAAAATTCGATAATACCAGTTTTTTTCCAAAAATTTGGTATTTTTCAAGGTTTCCCAATTTTTTTGCAATATCTGATAAAGACAGAGCTAGATTCTAGAAAATTCTGGATTTTTCCTAAAATTTCTTTCAAACTTCAAGTGATTTATAATTTTTTTTCATAAAATCCGGTAAAACTTCAAGAGATTTCTGGATTTTTCTGAAAATTCGGCAAAACTTCAACAAAATTCTAGATTTTTCAAAAAATCCGGTAAAAACTCATATTGGGTTTTTAAATTTATGGTTAAAATGCAAAAAATCCCCCTCCTATGAAATTTTTTGTACCATATACTTAGAAATAACTATCGGATATTTGTCTTTACAAAGAGACTTTTTTTTACTGAATGTAAAATTTTTAAAGATAAATAATATGAAGGATATTTTTGTCATTGTAAAAAATGTGAGTGTGCCAAATCAAGGTAAGGGTGTCAAGATAAAATCTCTTAACTCAGAAAGAGATACAAAACAATGAAGCACATCCATAAACACCAAAAAACCAACAACCAAAGGAAAATAACTAAAAACACAAAGCAAGCTAAAGGCGGTAAAAAAAACAAAGCACATCTAGAGCTCTCTAAAGCAAGACTAGCAAACATTAGCACTTAATGGCAAGAAAACGTTAAAAAAAACTGTATACACTCATAATGTTATTGACTCATATTAAGAATATGATTCTCAAAGACAGAATGAGAAGACACAAAAGTTGTCCACAAACCTAATAAGATACCACTTTTAAATCAAGAAAATGGTCATTTCTTTCACATTTTTTAATATTATCAGAAGGCCTGAAAATACTAAATCATTCTGAGATTTTCAAATTGACTAAACTATAACATGCCAAATCATTAAAAAAATATTTAATTAGAAACACTTCACAAAACTGAAAGAGCATTTGAAACATGGTCAAAAATATCCTAGCACTACAAGAAATATAGTCTCCTGCCACGTGATTTAGTAAAATGAAAAACACGTGGCAAAAAATGGACAGTTGCAACGTGATTATCACATCACTAACATTTTTAATATTAAAATAATAAGTGTAACGTTAGCACATGGTGTGTCAGATTTTTTTTTAGAAAAAAAAAATTGTGGCGTGAAAATCACGTTGCAACGTTTAAATTAAAAAAAAAGTTTAGAAGAGTCAGGCCTGCTGATGAGGGAACTTTGAAATTTTTCAAAATTTTGGTTGTGACGTGAATATCACTTAGCAACAGTTTAAAAGGAAAAACCTATCTGACGTTGAAGTGATGGGGTACTTGGGGTGTAGGTTGATTGATAAAAGGTTATAACCGTTGGAACTTTTGTGATGTAAATATCACGTGGAAAAATTGCGACGTGAATATTACTTCGTTACATGATTATAATTTATTTTTGAAATTTAAATGTTAGGATTTGCAACGTGAATATCACGTGGCAAGGTTGCGACGTGAAGTTCACGTTGAATATTTTATATATTAAACGCGTTATCACTTTTTCCATACCACACTTAATTTTTTTCCCTTCATCTTTCTCTTTTTGTCTTTCCTCCTTCACACAATATTCTGCTTCTTTTTCCCTTCTACCCATTACCATTAATCCTCTCTAAAATCTTCATTGCTTCAAAGGTAATATTTTTCAAACATAATAATTTGTCTGCTATGATTTTTCTTCAATTTATTTTTATTAATTTCGTTTAATATATAACATTTTCTGAATTCAATTTATGTTTAATTTTTCGGTCAAAATATTAAAGTGATTTGAAAGAAGAATTGAAGAAGATATTGAACAAGAAGATCAACGAAGATTGAAGAAGAGGTATTTTTTTTATTTTAATTTTTTTAGTTTGATATATTAATATTTGGATTGTTGGTTGCTGTTTAATTTTTTAAAAAAAATATTTTATTAATATGTATATATTGGAAAGCGAAAAATAATTTAATATATTTATTTAAAACGAAAAAATAGTATATTCTTGTATTAAAATAGAATTTTAAATCATTTATTTTTTGTTTTTATTTTTTATTTTCAAAACAGATTATATATATTAGAGTGGAGACCGATCGACTTACTCTAAGAGTAAGTTTTTTTAACTTACTTCACATCATAGCCTTTAAATTGAATCTAATTTATTGTTTAAATTAGTATTTTTACTTATAATCATTCGATTAAATCTAATTTAAAGGTTATGATTGTAGAGTAAGTTAAAAAAACTTACTCTTGGAGTAAGTTGATCTCCACTCTATATATTAATATATAAATATTTATAAATTTTTAATTTTATATATATATATATATATATATATATATATATATATATATATATATATATATATATATATATATATATATATATATATATATATATATATATATATATATATATATATATATATATATATATATATATATATATATATATATATATATATATATATATATATATATATATATTTAAATAGAATATAAAAAAGTATAAAATATAATAAAAAATTATAAGTAATACTATATTAGATTATATTTATTTAAAAACAGAAACTTATATTATATTTTAATTAAATATATAAGATATATTTATTAAAAATAGAATACATTTTAAATTTACTTTTTATGTTGTATTTTTATTAGAAACAAAATATATGTTTTATTTTTTATATTATTTTTTATGTTTTATTTTGAAAATGTTATATTTATATTAAAAACAGAATATATATGTTTTATCATTTTTTTTATGTTGTATTTTTATTAGAAACTAAATATATATATTTTTTTTATACTATTTTTTTATGTTTTAATTTTTTATGTTATATATATATATATATATATATATATATATATATATATATATATATATATATATATATATATATATATATATATATATATATATATATATATATATATATATATATATATATATATATGTTAATTTTTTTATGACATTATTTGTTTATATTATATTTTTGTTATTAACAACAGAATTTTCATATTAAAAATAGAATAAATTTTTATTAGTATATATTAAATAGTATATATAGATTAAATTTTTGATAGTATATATTTAATAGTATATATAGCAAATTTAATAGTTAAAATAAAAAAATACGTTTAAGAATAATATATATTAAATAGTATAAATATTTAATAGTATTTATTGTATGTTTAATACTTAAAACAAATTAAAACAATATGTTTAAGAATAGTCTATATTAAATGTATAGTTAAACTAAAAAAATTATTTTTATTTATCTTAAAGAATTTATTATATAAATTTATAAAAAATAAAATATATTATATTAATTATGTAATATGTTATAGTATATGTTATGGATGTATTATATGTCATGTTTATATGTTATGTTATATTGTATGAAATTATTATTTGAGTTTATTAAAAACAAAATAATACGAAATTTATTTGTACTTATATATATTAAGAATAATTAAAAAATAGTAGAAAGTTTATTTGTATTAAAAGTAATTTTTAGTTAATATAAGTTTATGTTAAAGAAAAATATTAAGTTAGTTAATACTTGTATTTAATAATTTATAAAAAAATTTAAAATTGATATTAAAATCACACTTGTAATAAAAAAGACAATGATTGTATAAATGTGCAGTATGAAATATTATAGGTATTATCATAAAGCATGAAACCAAGTTTGTGAACTACTAAAATTCACAGATATTGGTAAAGCGTGTAGAATTCAAGGATATGGGGTCACACACAATTGGGCAAAAAAAAAGTATATTTTGGGACCTCCCATATTGGAAAGATAATTTGTTGCGCCATAATCTTGATGTTATGCATATTGAGAAGAATTTTTTTGATAATGTATTTAACACAGTGATGGATGTTAGAGACAAAACTAAAGATAATGAGTAGGCTAGACTAGACATGGAAATTTTGTGTAATCAAAAAGAGTTGGAGTTGAAGCGTCAACCAAATGGAAAATTGTTAAAACCCAAAGCGAATTACAGTCTAACTTCCCGAGAAGTTAAAGTAGTTTGTTGATGGTTAAAAGAATTGAGAATGCCCGATGGTTATGCTTCAAATTTGACAAGGTGTGCTGACGTTAACATTGGGAAGTTGCATGGTATGAAAATTCATGATTGCCACATTTTTATGGAACGATTGCTTCCAATTATGTTCGGTTCACTACCCAATCATGTACTTAATCCACTAACTAAAATTAGTCAATTTTTTAAAGCTATCTGTGTGTCAGCTTTAAGAGTGGATAACATCTTTAAGTTGGACCGAAATATTCTAGACATTCTCTGTAAGTTGGAACAAGTATTTCCGCCTAGTTTTTTTTTACTCTATGGAACATCTACTTGTGCATCTTGTATATGAAGTTTTTCTTGGCGGCCCTGTTCAATATAGGTGGATGTATCCCTTTGAAAGGTTCATGGGTGATTCAAAGCAATCAGTGAAAAATAAAGGTAAAGTTGAAGGATCAATATATGCGCATTTCAATCACTTGATGTTAACTCCAAGAATCATAAGGAATCCTGTAAATGTTAACAAAAAAAGTCAATTTACCTTTTCAATCTTCAAGCTTCCTGGTCGTCCCTCTGGAAAGAAGGATGTGCATTGGCTGACTCAAAAACAAATGCAATTTGCACATATTTATGTCTTAACTAATTACGTTGAAGTTAAACCATGTCTTGAGTAAGCATATCCCAACTGTTTAATATTATTTATCATATGAATACAAAACTTATTACCTTGAAACTTATATGGTGTTTCTTTATAGGGAATTTAACATCTCCTACTTTCATAGCACCGGTGTACAAGCAACCTCTAGTCACATACATGCTCATTTTCAAGCATGGTTCAAGGAGAAATTGTCATGCATTATTGAACCGACTCAAGAAATACTCCACTTTAGAAACTTGTCTGAAGGCCCTATTTAAAGCGCAAATGAATAGAACACATACTTTGTGAACGAATATAAATTTCACACTAAGACATGGACTGAAGGGAAAAACCATAAACAATGGTGTATTTGTAAAAGGAGTTATAGATGGTGGTGATGACGAATTCTATGGCTTTGTTAAACATATTTACGAGTTGGTATAGAATTATTTGGACTTGAAAAATAAAGTTGTCTTTTTTTATTATGACTGGTACGATCCATTTGCCAGAGGTACAAAAATAGATAAGACATATGGTACTGTGGAGATTTGAATGGACCGAAGGTACAAAGAGTATGACCCTTTCATAATGTCACATATTGTTAGACAAGTTTACTACGTTCCTTATCCTTCAATTGTACCACGTAAACGAGGGTGGTCTGTTGTAATCAAAACAAAACCATTGGGTCATATTGAAACTGGCAATCTAATGGAAGATGTTGCTTACCAAGTTGATGAAGTTGAACAAATTAATGATGTGATTGCATTTGAACAAGTTACAAGTTTTCTGATACAATTGTTGAGGGGTATCAAGTTGATGCGTCTATATTGTAGGATGAAAATGAAGTGAATGGCGAGCATGAAGATTTTGGATCCGAGGATAATATCACATCAGATTATGATAACGATATGGATGAACATGATTTTGAATAAATTGTTTTTGTAATTTAACTTGATGAAACCTTGTATTGAATGTATTATGAATTTATGTGATTGTGTTTTTATAAGATTTATTATTTGTGTTGCTCATGAATATATATATATTAAATTGTATTCTTTATAAATAGGTAAAATACCATCCCGATCTAATAAGGATAAGGGTAAGAATTCCCAACGTTCGAGAGTAGTAGTATGCCAGACACCTCAGTCGATCATATGTCCTTCCCCGCAAAGTCAGTTATATTCTATGTCCATGGCCAGTTCTCAGCCTTTCATGACATTACTCTCCCCTTAGAAGTATCCAGCTTTTATTAACCCATCTGAGGCTCCAGCTTTTATTAGCCCATCTAGGGGGCCTAGTTATCCATATCAGTAAACTAGGGGACCTAGTTATCCATACCAGCAGGTACCCTCATCCTTTACACAGTTTGAAGGGTCTAGCTTTCCACCTCCATACCAGCAGGTTCCCACACCCTTCATGCAGTCTGGGGGATCTAGTTTTCCAACTCCCTCACAGATACCCTCATCTTTCACACAGTCTAGGGGATCCCACACCGCACAACCCACACATATATCTTTACCATCCACACATGTACCTATGTGTGAGGATGATCATGAGGAGGAAGCTGAGGACGATCATGATGATGAAGATGAGGCTGCCAATGATGAGGTGGTTCAGATCATTGATGGAAGATATTTTATTTGGCCCGACAGAAATTCGTAAGTTTTAAATTTTTCTTTAAATATACATATTTCCATTTTTTATATTAACTTATATTGCATACTAATATAAATGATTGATGTTTAGTTTCGAGCCGAGTTGGACTGCTGCTCAGTGCATAGGTTATGTTATTTAGCAAAAGTATAAAAAAGTTTGGAAGAGATTTAGAGAAGTTAATGGGGATGAAAGAGAAGCTTGGTTTAATTTATTTAAGGTATAATTAATTTATTTTTGTTAAGTTATGTAAGTTATTTGTTAACTTATTTTTGTTTAAATTAATTTTTTATTATAATTATATAACTATTTTATTTAAATGTCTTACAACATTGTAGGAAAAGTGTACTTGGAAAAAAATGAATGAGAAAGAGGTTAGAAAAAAAATATTTTGGCAGAACAGCGGATTGAATTTCTGACATGCTACGGCATGCTAGAAAGCATTGGGAACCTGAAAATATTCGTCCCAACTGAATAAGCAAAGAAGTATTCGATGAACTTCTTATTTATTGAGATTTAGATACTGATTTTAAGTCAAGATCTGAAAAAACAAAGAAAATGAGAGAACTTGAAAAATGGGGTAGCCTAAATGCAGTTGGAAGTATAAGTGTTGCCGAATATGCTAGACGCATGGTAATTATTACTACTATTTTAAGTTATATTATAATTTATTATATATTTTAAATTAAAGTTAATTTTATTATTTAGAAAAAGAGATTGGGGAAACCTCCACTCATGATGGAGCTAGTTGTAAAGACTAGAATAAAAAAATCAGGTGACTTTATTGACGAACGCATCAAAAAAACTTTGGTAAGTAAGTTGTTTCATTTTATTTAAATTGTTTTTATTTATTTTATTTAATGAAAATTTTGTGACGTGATTATCATGTGGTAATTGAGATATTGTGGCGTGAAAATCACGTGGAAATATTTATTATTTAATTTAACTTAAATTGTTTAAGCTATATTTAATTTAATTTTTTTATTATATGTGTAGGAGGATTACCAGGTATTGCTCACAAAATTTTTGGTAGAAAATCCTCAGTATACTCCAAGAGGTTCTGAGCCACTAAATCCACGAGTTGATTTTTATATTTGGGGTTTAGTAACTGGAGAAAAGGGACCGAATGGATGTTTATTTGGTGCTGGAGCTTTGGTCGGTGGTATGAGAAAAGGGGACAGGACTCTATTTCAAAGAGTTAGAGATGGTGAGGGAGCGTCACATCCACCACAATTGACCCCCGAGATGCTAGAGACGGTAAGACAACTAGCGCTAACTGAGGCGAGACGCGAAAAGACACAACGTGAGGCGGCACTAAAGGCCCAAATGGAGGAGCAACAACGTCATATATAGGCAATGAAGAATAGGCAAACATAAATGGAGGTGATGATGCGTCAATTTATGCAATCACAAGGTGGCGGTAATTCAGTTGTTGGAAATGAAGAAGTTGGTGGTCAACAACAGATGAATGGCGACGATGACGATGATTTTGACCTTGACGGCTTTTCCGATCTGGATTGATCCAGAGGATTTATTGTAATTTTAAATTTTTATTTTTGTAAAATATTAATTACATTTTAGTATATTATACACTTTTTATTTAAAAATGTTATTCTTAATTTTGGTATTTATTTATATTTATTAATTTTTCAATATTATTCTTACTGCACCCCTTGATACTCTTAGGCACCATGCGCGCTGACTAAAATGTCCTCATAATTCTGGAGCTGTATCTTCGAACGAACCTTTTTTCAGTTTTTTATTCAATTTTGTAGATGCATCTACGGAATCCTTCCGTATTCATATTTACGGAGAAAAAAACCCAGAAACAAAATACCAGAAAATCAACATTGCAACCATAAAATCAACATTCGTAAAATAAAATCGGAGTCACATTGATGATTTTGACAAAAATTTAAATATTACATTTTAATATTCGGGTGGACGCTTGCACATTTAAGATGTCATCAACTTTTCTTTAAATCGTCGCCTCTAACTCGAGTAGAATTTTCTCTTTGAAATTGAAATAAGTTTACCACATCGTTCTAACATCGTCTTGGTTCTTGGGCTCAAACTTGTTGTAAACAATGTTTCTGTCGTTGTCAACTGAAGGTGAACAATACTCAAGCTTCACAACCTTTCGTTTGTTATTGTAAGATAGGCGATATTTGATCTTGTCTATGATATCGGTGAGGGGATGAGATCCATGAGCTTGAACGTCCTCTTAGGTGTTTTGCCGTCAGAAAAGGAGACACTCGCGACATGCCAATGGATCTTGATTTCAAACAATTAAGACAATTTTGCATTTGCGTAAAAGATAACAAATCAAACCCCAAATTTATAGAAAAGCTATGTGAATATGGACCAACCATTTTCTGTCAAACTTGTTTCCAGAGCTATATCCATGGAACGAACCTATAATTATTGGTTCCGGATATGTATCTCTGGAACTTCCATTGAAATTGCAAAATTAAGAACCTTCCATAGATACATATCAGGAAGTTTCCCTGCTACATTTTAAAACCAGAACTCAATATAGAAGCACGTCATAATAGATAAATAAAAGGCATATGTGCAAAAATAAGGCATGAGAATAAAATGTAACTATTTTGCACTTCAAAATTTTACAATTAGTCGTCATATTATACAAGAATTCAAAACGAATCAAAACAAGTTTCGTTGACTAAATCAATTGGTGGTACCCTTTGTACTTTTCCGCATTCGATTCCTTTTCAATGTTGTTCAGTATTTCGTATTCGTGCATCCTTTCACAAAGCGATTCGCCCACGTCTCGACATTAGGGGTTGAATGAGTCACCATTCCAGTGATGTAGGTGGTATAGGGCATCCCGGTTTCAAGTAAACTTGTACAAAATGTCTTGATTTTGTAAGTCATCTAATACACATGATGCAATCATTTGGATTTTGAGGTGGTGCGGTGCAGAGTGGAAAAAAGGTTTCCGAAAACCCGTATCGCGTAAATTCAATGCACACCCTATTATATGCACATACACTAAGATGACCCATATCAGGGAAGGTCATCCATTTCAACACCGGTGTCAGACCACTCAAGGAAGGAACAAGAGATTCATAAACCGCATCAAATTTTTCTTTCTTTCTATTAAACCGCATATACGATTCTTTACGCGTCTTCAACTCTTGGATTAGTTGAAGGCGGACAAGCACATGACTATCCTCTCCTTTACTAAGCAAACCCAAAATGGCTCGGTAATCACAATTACCATCCCTTTCAACATTGATGATACGGTAGATGTATTTGTGCATAAGAAATGACATCTCGTCGATGAATGGAATTTTTGATGGAATCGGGGTCGGAGGCGGTTTGCTTATGCAGGTTACTTTCATGAAACTTTTTTGAGATTTAAGAGTCGGTGAGTTGGGATAAATTTTTGTCAATGTGCTTACAATAAGAAGGAGATCCTGTAGTCGAGTTGTCATTCAGTGTAGGCTTTACTTTCTTTTTAGCACCTTTTGTCTTTACAGGTTGAGAAGGCGATTTCATGTCAGTTGTTTCGGGATAGGAAATCTTCCTCAATTGTTCTTTGATGTGGAGTTTCATGTTTTTGTTGCATCTCAATATTTGCACAACCTTTTCCTTCTTGGTG